CACCATCTGTAAAGCAGAGTTAGGAAGTGATGAAAAGCGCCGAATTGTTCTCTAATTGAAAATTCTTTTTTTTTTTTTTTGGTGACCGCGCTGACAAATATCTGGGATCCTTGCTTTTGATCCCTCACTGCCGCCTCTGTTCTCCAATGGCTAATAAAACTCGCATTGAGCCCCTTAGTGCCTTGATTAACAGGCAGATTAACTCTTACTGGGGTGGGGAACAGCTTGTCCCAATCAATGTCATTTTAAGAGCCCGTCAGGATACGCTTAGCTCCGGTTCCCTGGCTGCTCCAGCGAACTAGCCATGACATTTGCTCCCTTCCTCTTCCCCAGCCTCAAATCCCCCAGCAAAGCCCCCAGTTCCCAGCCCGCGTGTAACCTGCTCCACTTCAGGACAAGTGCGGGACTCAGTTCCTGGCCTTTAAATTTTTAGAGAGGGAATCTCTAGGGAGAAGGGACTGAGGTGGCCTTGCCTTACTTTTCGTTGGAAGCTGAACTCTTGCCTCTTGAGGGCGGAGGTTACAGGAAAAGGAGAGATGGAGGACCGCCTTGGGTGACAAAATTGAAAGCAAACTTTGCTGGAAACCTAATTTGCAAAAATCGGAGAGTGCCACTGACTGCAAATGTCCTATATATCAGAAGTTTTAAACCTGGTCCCCATTTTGGACAACCGGCACGTAGAGTTCGGGAAGCAAAGTCTTGGGAGTCCGACCTGATGGGCTACAGGAATCTCTTGGCTGGGAAACACACTTGGACAATGGTTTTTAAAAAGTATTTGGGGGGAGGAATAGAGAAAGAGAGACGCTTGCCGCCTAATGCGAATGGAAGAGGACCGAACCCACTAATCATTTGGCAGGAGGCGAAGAAGGGTGAGGGCACAGCGGCTTTCCCCAGCCGAGCGTGGCCACAGCCTGGAGACGCCACCCTGCTGGCTCTCCTCGGCTTCCCGGCGCTCTGAGCTGTGCGACGCTGCGGGATGAACTGGAAACCTGCAGGTTGCTGGAGAAAGGAGTAAGGAGAAAGGCCTAGAGTGGAGGGGGCACCGTGAACTGGGCGACAGGGCTGGGCGCCTTTGCCTTTCGTGCTCGTTTGACCATTTTCGCCAGCTCTGCTCTCGAGTGAATCCACCTTCCCACGGCCAGCAAAGAATGAGCTGCTGGGAGCCCTGCACAGTGATGCAGGTGTCTGCGAAGGCTTTCCTCCTTCAAAGAAAAACTCATCTCCACCCTTCTCAGCGTGCCAGCACCGCGCCTCTACTTTGCGGTGGAAAGCGGCAGTTCAGAGGTGTTACAACACCAGTGGGAGATTCTTGGTTCCGAAACCGGAAGCCGAAAGCATCTCTCCCTCGAGCTGGGCACGTCCTTGCCTTGGCAGAGGCCGCCTCCGGACCGGAAACCTGGGTAGTGGGCATCAGCGAATGCCTGGGTCCTCTGAGGGTGATATGCTGCCTGATCTCACATTTACGAACCAATAGTGGCCAGAGGCTCCGGGCACTCTCCAGTGAGCGGCGAGCCCCTAACGTGACTCAGCGTGACAGACAGCCTCTCCTTACCGGGTGGGATGACCCAGGCCCCTGCCGGGCCAGGCTGAAGAATGGTCCTCCTTGGGCGCCAAGGGGCAGGGAGGGGTAGGGTAGGATGGGGGGCACTTAGGAAGAGGAGGAAAAAGGCAACACAGAAACCTCAGGCGCGATCCCCCCGCCTTCGCGGGCAGCGTATGGGCCTCGGTGGTATTGGAAGCCGCAATTAAAATGGCGACCTGTGAACTGTCTCAGTTTTGCTCACACCTCTGACCATGGGGCGCTGCACCTTTGTTCCAGCCGCCCTAGCCAGCCGTGCTGCCCCCAGAACAGGTATTTGGCAGAGGGTGCGAAGCAGAACAACACCCTCACCCTCTTTGAAACTAGCCCAGAAAGAACAGGAAATCTTGCTCTCCACCCCTCTCTCCTTAAACTTTGAAAACTCTGCCTCTCTGTGGGCCGAGTCCCCCCCACCCCCACAAAAAATATTGACACACTGAGAGCAGCCAAGTCTTTTTTGTTTCTTGTTGGTGCTGAGGGGTTTCCAAGAGTCCTTCTCCAAGCCCCCACCCCCACCCAATGACGTCAGTGGCATTCACTCCCTGCTTCTCGCCTCTTATGATTTTTTGTTGTTAAAACTTTTCTCTGAGGTGAGATAGGGATTGGGGTTGGGTGGGAGAAGGAGTCCATTCAAAGAGCCAGTGCCCAGGGGGGAAATAGCAACAAGATTACGGCTGCTTCTTTCCGAGGCAAAGCTTAAGAAGGTGCTAATCCATTCGGTCGCTAATTGAGAGGTTGTAAAAATGATATTCACCTCCAGTTCGGACAGTGTCTCTGGGCCTTTTCCCACCCCCTCGCTTATGCCCAGTGGACTTCAGTTCAAGCTTTTTTAATGCTTGTTTGAGAAGCAAAAAGGGAGAGAAAAAGAATGCAGACTCTCGTTGATCTGGGACCTGGGCCCGCTGTCCCACATCCCGGGATCGGGAAAGTCGCGGTCCTACGAAATCTCTCAGAGGAGGCCGCTGACCCCGGCTCCGGGCACCACCTGCTTCGCTTCTGGCCTGGATTGTCTCCTGGCGCTGAGTGCTTTTGGGCTGCGCGGGGTGTGCGACAGCAACCCTGGCTCGGACTGGAGAGGCCCTAGCTTTTCCCGAGCTCTGCCCAAGCTCCTTGGTCGCGTCATTACTGGGTCCGAGCTGGGGACGGCAGTGTGAGACCCACACTAAGCCCGGCGGCCCAAAGCAACCTGCAGTGTCTTCATGGCCCCAGTTTCCAAGGGTGGCTAACGCGCTGCCTCTCAGCGGTGAATTCAGGGTGCGCAGACTTTAGTGATGAGTTCTAACTTTCAGCACTTTTCTTAAGTCAAGATGAGTCAAGTGTGCCTGATGGTGGATTCTTTTCAGCCTCCCTGCCTGAGCTTTTCCAACCCCCTTCTTCGCTGGGTCCTGGGGTGTGTCCCTCCACCCCCAAAGTCCCTTTTCCACAGCCACCGCGTACAAGCTCCTCTAGAACTCGCGACTTCGCAAGACTAAGCAGCCGCTCCCTCCCCTGTCACCTTAACTGCGGGCGCCGAGGGGCGCCTTTGGAGTGTACTGAGGTGTGTCCTAATCGTCCGGCATTCAACAAATGGACTTTTGGTGTGTGGTCAGAAGAGAAAAGCCATTTACTTACTTTCCTCCCTGGTTTTCTGGCAACAGCTGATGAGGAGCTGCCTTCGTGGACTGAGCAGACCCAGGAGAAGGAATCGTGGTGTAGAGACACGCACACCATATACAGATAACTGGAGGCACACACCGACACACGCTGAAACAGCGACATCATGGACGAAGACACACACACACACACACACGCGCACACACACACACACACACACGCGTGCGCGCGCGCACACACACTCTCCCAGCATTGGTCATCTTCCTCCAGCCCAGGCCTTTGACACCTCCCTCCCCTCTCATCTCCCCCTGGAGTCCCCTCCTCTTGGGCGCCTGGAAAAGCTGCCGCACTTAGTCAACAAATGGCACGTGGGAGAAGTTGGTGAGTGTTTGGTGAGGACTCTTCAGGGCTTTTCACAAGAACCCTCTGTACACAAAGTAAGTGGCGTGTTTGCTCGGGCCTCTCCAGCCCGGCTGTGCCTCCGCTCCGCTGCGCACCGCGGCTTCCGAAAAGAGAAAGAACAGAAGAAAGGGCCGGCGGAGCGAGGGTGGGGGAATGGGCAGGCCCGGGAGGCCTGCACTGAGGAGGCGACTCGGTGTCGCCGAGATCCCAGCGCCGAGGCCTCCTCTCGGCCTAGGCTTCGCCCTGGACTGCGCCCGAGTGTTGCTGCCGGGACCCGGTGCCGCACACTCCCCTTTTCTCTTCCTCACAGTGGCCAGGTGGGCTAGGGTGCGGCCACTGTTCTCCGCGTCCCAGCGATCAGGCTGAGATAGGGAAGGGGCGGGAGGGGAGGGCGGGGGAGGAGGCGGCAACTCTGAGATGGAGTTGGCAAAAAAGGGCCGCGCAGAAACTTGCCCCCCATCCCACCCCCCATGAGTTGGGAGTCCCGCGCCCAGCTTAGGGAGGTGTGGGCGCGAACCCCCAGCCCAGAGGCCTAAATTCGACCCCTCAAGTTCGCGGCCACAGTGCGGGCCGCGCTGACTCCCGGAGCGCTCGGAGCCTAGAGATGTCGGCCAGCACCAGCTCCAGAGCCTGGGCGCGGGGGCCCAGCACCGGGGAGAGGAGCCGGGACCCACCAGCGGAGCCGAAAACAAGTGTATTCATATTCAAACAAACCGACCAATTGCACCAGGCGGGGAGAGGAAACATCCAATCGGCTGGCGCGAGGCCCCGGCGCTGCTTTGCATAAAGCAATATTTTGTGTGGGAGCGAGGGATGCATTTGCATGTTGCGGAGTGATTAGTGGGTTTGAAAAGCGAACCGTGGCTCGGCCTCATTTCCCGCTCTGGTTCAGGCGCAGGAGGAAGTGTTTTGCTGGAGGATGATGACAGAGGTCAGGCTTCGCTAATGGGCCAGTGAGGAGCGGTGGAGGCGAGGCCGGGCGCCGGCACACACACATTAACACACTTGAGCCATCACCAATCAGCATAGGTGTGCTGGCTGCAGCCACTTCTCTCACCCACACTCTTTATCTCTCACTCTCCAGCCGCTGACAGCCCATTTTATTGTCAATCTCTGTCTCCTTCCCAGGGATCTGAGAATTGCTCTCACAAACCAAACCAGCAGCATCTGTGGAGAAAACTCTCGCCAGCAACTCCTTTAAAACACCGTCATTTCAAACCGTTGTGGTCTTTAAGCAGCAACAACAGCCAAAAAACCCCAACCAAACAAAACTCTTGACAGGAGCTTTGACGAGAGAGGATGCCTCATAAAGGTGAGTCCGCTTCTTTCTTCTCGCTTCATTTTTATTGCAATATTCAGGCAGGTCTCCCCCATCCTCCCCCCTTCCTTCCTCCCCTCTCGCCGGTCCCCTCCCCCACTGCTACGCCGGGAGAGTTGGGCCGGAGAAGTTTCCAAGCAGGAGCCCAAACTTTGTACTTCCAGCGAAAGCCCGCGTCGGAGGGCGACGGCCGGCGAGCGGGAGCGGCGCAGGGCTCGGGGCTGGCGGCCGGCTCACTCCCAGCGCCAGCGCGGGCTGAGCTCGCGGGAAGAACTAAGGCTCCAGGCGCAGCAGAAGCCGCGGCCCCCGGCCCCAGCGTCGCCAAATGCTCCTGGCCGGCGGGAGAGGACGAAGAAGCTCTGCGGTGCCCCAGGCCCGGGAACGGCTGCAAGGACCAGCCTCCGGCGGCTGCTTTGTCCAGCCGAGGGCCCAGCGAGCGCGCAGAGAGCGGGCGCGCCGAGGAAGCGCCGAGAGAGCCGGCTCGCCGCGCTGCCGCCCGCTCGCCCGCCGTCTGGCTTTGTGCTGCTCTCCGCCGGGGCACAGAAGTCCGCGGGCACTCGAGCGCCGAGGGGCACCGCGCCCGCCGCCAGCCCTAGCAGAGTCCATCGGCAAAGGCAATCGCACGCTGGAGACAGAGAGAGAGAGCGAGTGAGCGGGATCCGGGGAGGAAGCCACCAGGCCGAAGCGGTCGAACGCGCGCTCCGAGGGAGCTCAGAGCCGAGCAGGAGGATTGTCAGCTTCCATCAAGCCCCCAGGCTATTGCCCCCAACTTGAGCGCAAAGCTCGGAACTTGAAAACTCTCTGCTTCCCAGTCTTCCCCCAACCTTCGCCCTCTCCCTGCGAAAGCTGGGCTCTTCCCTGTCCTTCAGTCCCCAGCGCTCGGTGGGTATTTTTCCTTGTCTTCCTCTGACAAAGCTGCACCCGGTGTTGCCGTTTCAAAAAGTTTGAAAGTGGAAAGGTGGATTGCTTTTTTTAAAAAAAATTTCAAGTCCCCTGTTTTTTTTTTTCTTTGTGAGGCTTAAAAAAAATCAATATGAAAGCATTGGCTTTCCCCGTCGTCTGATCACATCCTCTCCCAGCTAATTAGTCTGAGTAATTCGAGAGCTTTCCGATTGATTCTAAGACCCCAGGAGGAAAAGTGTCTTTTCAAAGTTCATAAAGTTGTTGCCTCTTTCCTTGTGTAGATTTTCTCAGTCTCCCTGCACCATAATAGCCCTGAATTTTAGCAAGTGTAATTGGGGGAAATGGAGTTGAATTTCAAGTGGAAATGCTTTCTTTTTTGAGTGCTAAAACCTGGTCCTCCAGTCTTGAGTGATTTCTAGAAAGTTTAAATACAAAGTGAATGTGGTATCCTTTTCTCTCAAACTCTACAAAGCTCCCTAAGCTTTTCTGGATGTTTAACTCGAACTTGGGAAGGTTAAGGAGGGGGTGGGAGCAGAAATGAAATAAAAAGCAAAGAGCTTGAAAGCCTGGCGAGTTTACCGGGGAGAAATAATAGATGTTGCCGTTGACATTACATTTTTTATAGCCGGTGACCTTTGCAAACGTCTGAAGGCAATTTGATTAGTTGTTATCTTATTTGGCCCTAGAAAGTAAAACTTTGTCATCTTAATTGCTAATTACTCTTTGGCTAGAGGCGGGGAAGGCCGAAAGTGAGCTCTCCCCTTCATCCCAGCTAAGGAGTTTGGGGTTGGATTTTGAGAATTAAGTAATTTAAAAAACAGTATTTGAAAGCCGAGGCTTGTGCAAGAGATGGGAGAGGCAGTGGCCCAGTGGCCTACTGGATCAAGGCTGTGGTGACTTCCAGGTGTCTGGAGACTCCTTCGTTCCTGGCATGGCTGTGTGACCTGGTCAGGGCTGCAGGAAGCCCCAGGCTGAGCTGGGGGGCTCTGGCTGCGGCTGAGGGGGACTAGCCTCTCTGCATGACTGCTTCCGGGTGTTGGTGTGCACGACAGAGGTCCTGGTTTGCTTTGCACTAAGTGTTAACAATTACTTAAGTAATTATATAGCATCTTAGCTGGGGGTGGGGGTGGGGTGGGAATGGAGCAGAATTGGAACTTGAAATGCTTCCACCTTCCCAGATGCTTCGAAAATTAGTCCTCTCTGGAATCAGCTACTGAATTTTTTTAACTGGCCTCAAGAATGGACCGGCCAGGATGTGGACATTCAGTTGTGCTCGAGTACAGAGTGGGTCAGAGAGAGGAGTTCAAGAAGTTTTACCCCTTCTAGGGGAATTCCGCTACCCCCCTTCCCCGCCTGCTACCACTTTGCAGTTTCAGAGTCCCACTTTGAGAAGGGACACATTCTGCTCGAAGTTGGGGTTTCTGCCTGGCTGGGGCAGGACTGTGGTCATGTGGACTAAGAGACAGGAAGGAGACCTTGGGAGCTAACCCAGCTAGGGGTAACTAGGTAGCCCTCTGCCATCTCCAATATTTTCTAGGCTGCATTCAGAAGCTGGGGAAAAGTCCTCCTCTTAAGTTTATTTTTTGTGGATTTAAGCTGCCTCCAAGCTAGTTAATAAATTAGACCATGGATGGCCTTGGAGAGAAAATATGTGCTGCTTGGAATTCCTTGCTTGCAGGCAAAATTAATAATCACAATAGGCAAAACTGGAAAAAGAATATTTTAGTTTTTAAAACAGAGAAAAACAATGCTATGACTATATAATTATTTTACCTTTTTTTTTTTTTTTTGCAAACCTCCTGAATAGTCTTTTTATTGTAATTCTCTCTCCCCAATTGAGCTCCCCACGGTGCTGTTGTATCTTTTTACTGCCCCTAACAACTCACACCAGTAACACGATTACCTCCAGATATTTATAACAAGAAATTACTTTCCTATTTTCTCTCCCCTCCCCCCAGAACCTTCTTCTTAGGGGAAGGCAGGGAGGGGGTGGTAGAAGGCGAGCCTTGAGGGACACGCACTAGGTCAGGACTTATAAAGCTAGAAGTGTCCTTCTGTTCCTTTTGTGGGTTGGTGGGTTGTTGGTACGTGTGGTTGGAATCTGTGTTGCTGGTTAGGGAGACTCGATTTTGCTCTTTGGGTTTGGGGAGAGCTGGAGAATAGAAGCCATTGTTCGCTGTCTGTAGGCTTTGTCGACCACGCTCACCCCCTCCTGTTCGTACTTTTTAAAGCAGTGAGGCGAGGTAGACAGTGTGTCACAGTACAGTAAAAGGGAGGAAGATCTAAACACCAAAAGAGAAGTTAATCACAAAAAGTGAGGTTTGCGGGGGGGAAAAGTTGGGCTCACCATATTCAAAGTCCCAGAAAGGCTGTGAGATGGGTAGAGTGGGGACCTGCCTGGGAAGCTTTGAAAGAGAGAGTGAAATTTAAGGGGTAACCAGAGAGTTGGGTTCTGGGTGCCCTGGGGCAGCTCAGGTGGTGAAATTCCTTAAGGAGGAAGAGCAGCTTTGCAGTCCTCATCAGCCCCGGTCTGCACCCGCAGGCACCCTGAAGTTCCGAGGTCCCCTTCCCCTCACCTCTAAACTTCAGATATTGGTCCTGGGCCTCTACTCTTTACCCCACCATTTCTCTTGTTCTCCCCTTTTCCTTTCCCTGGTTCTTGATATTTTTGCAAAATGGGACCCCTACTTTTGAGATTCTATAATTCTCTCAAGCCAGGCCAGAGCAGCCACTTCTAAAAGGTTGTGACTTCTGCGGGAGAGGCCGCTAAAGATGTGGGTGCAACTCTGGAACTTAGGGTTTTATGGCAGTTTGAGTCCTTTAAATAAGTATTTTTTTTGTTTTATTTGTTTGTTTTTCTGAGAGTGTGGCTCAGAGAGTCCATGGGCCTATGCTTTTCAGCCACAATTTGACATACCTTTCTCTCCTTCTGTTTTATCTTAGGGGGAAGACTTTAACTAGGGGTGCGCAGATGTGTGAGACCTTTTATTGTAAGAGTGGACAGACCTCCCAGATTTCAGGCAAGTTCTGTGGTGGCTTGAAAGCCGCTTTGGGCCCTAAAACCTTAGAGTCAGAATGCTTTTTCATTGTTGTTTGGATGGAAGAAAAAAGACAAAATTCAGTCATCCTTTCTCCTGATTAAAGGGTTAACTACTTAGGGATTTGGGGGAAACAGATTGGGAATATTAAAGTATTTTATTTGTAGATTTTGCATGCACTGGAGGGCAGAGCTGGATGACTCTCAGATCGCCCCAAGTGATTGAGTGGATCATCTCATAAAGAAGGGGCATTCTCCTTCCTGGCTCCAAGTCATCCTTTGATGGGGAGGTAGGCCTACCAGGTGCGGGCCCAGGATTAATGCCTGTATTCTTGCTAACAGAGCCCCATATTCAAGCCCAGTGGGATCCTGCGGTCCCCAGCCAGCACCAGCATGCAGAACAGTAAGTGCCTCTGGTCTTTCTCTGACCAGGCTGGGGAATGCGGGGACTGGCGAGTCAGGGGAGGGTGCAGAGGTTTGTGGCCTCCGAACTTGCCAGATCCCCCGGTGTGGGAAAAGCCTGGGGACCTGAGGCAGCTGTGCCCCTCTCTGCATCCAGCAACCCGAGAGGGGAGGGCATTTGCTCTGCTGTTCTGGCTCCTGGAAGAACAGGGTCTGGGCGGCTCAGAACCGCCTGCTTTAGTTTGCTAAGTTTAGGTAGAGAAACCCCATCCCCCCAAATCCTGTAACACACACCCCCTCCCCGCCCCTGCCCGGGCTCTGACCCCAGAGAGTGGGGCTGGGCTGAACAGGGAGGGGCGGAGGCTTCTTCTAGTTGCCAGAGAGGAGAAGGAGGCCCCTTTGGGCTTAGCCAAGACTGAACGTCTCTACCGGCCAGGCGGGGTGGGGGGTGCTCCCCTCCTCCAGGCACTCTCAGGGTAGCTCCTCCCCTCCCTACTCGGGTCGTGGGCCTAGAAGGCAAGGGCCCCAGCCTGCGGTGGGTGAAAATGGTAAATTAGAACCATGGGGCTGTTACAGGGCGCCGGCGAGAGCAGGTTTACTGGGCCTAGGAAGAGAATGGGGGGCCGAACCAAGGAGTTGGAAAAGCCGAGCCCTGATCGCTGCAACTGTATGGGTTCCGGTCGTTCCTCCCCCGCAATACCTTTGATTCCAGGGCTCCCGTGCTCCCTCGGCCCAGGCCCCTTGAGCCTCCGGTCCACCTTCCTGCCCAGTCCGTGCATATTGGTATGTGGCAGGGCTACTTTGGAGCCCAGGCCTGGGAGCTTGGAGGCCCAGTGAAACTTCGCCCGGTTTTTAGGTGCATAGTCTGGACGCGATTTAAGGGCTCAGCTGTAGTAGGAGTGCAGAAAGGCCTAAGTCTTCTAGCAATCTTCTCTTGCCAAACTGCAGACTTAGACTCCCTAGCGCCCGATGTATCTGTCCAGGAGGCGCCAGCCTCTTCCCGGTTCTTCCGAGGCTGGTAGGCACAAAGCTCTGGAGAGGGCGCAAAGATAGTGAGCTTTAAGACGGGTTAGTTGTGCTGAACCTGCCAGGCCTCAGGGCTTGGCCCGGGAGGTACTATTCTTGGTGAAGCGAAGACTTCTACCCACCCTTCTGGCTGCTGGGGTCTCCCCCTGCAGCTCAGGCTCCCCAGCCGCAGGCTTTCGGGCCGGCTTGGCTGGGGCGCTGGGGCGCGCAGCGCTGAGCGTTTGCCGCTGCGGCCTGGCTGGCGGGCCCTGAGGGGCGCGGGGTCGCAGGCCGGTCTGCAGGGCTTTGTGCCTCTCACTCCCGGGTGTGCGTGAGGTGCAGAGCATCCAAATTGACACCATATGTTTTCCTATTAGATGCTTCGTGGTAGAATTCTAGGCGCATAATCATCGCCGCTGGGCGAGAGCGCCAGCCGTCCCTAGGGAAGGGACACAATGATTGCGGCTTAACCTCTGAAGAGGAACTTAGAGCAGCGTTTCCTCGCTGCCATTTCGATGCTGGCTGGGGCAGACCTGGCCCTGGCTTTTCCTGGGCAAGGTTTCTGCAGAAGTGCCGGGCGCGTTATTTCATTGCAATGGGTGGGGAAAGAAGGAGGAAGGTCTAGGATTAAGGCGGCTTCACACGCCTTGGCATTCGTAGATTGGGAATTGAGGCCGTGCTTGAAGTTTGGAAAGTCTCGGTCTCTCTCTGGGACAGCCTTTCTCTTTCCCGGAAGGGTCACTTTGCACAAAGGGGAGGCTCCGTAGCTGGAGTGGCAGATGGGTCCTGCGAGGCAAAGAAGGCATTAAAGGGAATTGAGGAGAAAGCAGAAGCGTGGACTAGGCCTTGCTCTGTTGGAGAAGCAGTGTCCCTGTGATGTCCCTGCTCGCGCTGGGCCGGCCGGAGCTGAGATCCCCCAAACGCCTGTCACTTCTCATCCACTTGAGGCTCCGGGCCCCCCCTTCTCAGTGAGGGCCCCCTCCGCCCCAAGCCTTTGGCTACCCTGAAAACGCGACTCCCCTTGAAGGGGAAACGAGTGCAGTTCAATCTCGTCTGAGTGATCTACAAATAGGGACGGAAAGGGTCGTTTTATCACGGTCCCGTTTGTCGTGACGATGCAATTTCCCGGAGCGGAGCACTGTCACAAAGTGACAAGGCTGCCACAAGCGCCCCGACTGATCTTTTCAATTAGCCTTCCATGCATGATCCGGAGCGACTTCCGCCTATTTCCAGAAATTAAGCTCAAACTTGACGTGCAGCTAGTTTTATTTTAAAGACAAATGTCAGAGAGGCTCATCATATTTTCCCCCCTCTTCTATATTTGGAGCTTATTTATTGCTAAGAAGCTCAAGCTCCTGGAGTCAATTTATCAGAGGCTCCAAGGAGAAGAGAGGAGAGGAGAGAAGAGCGCTGAGCAGGGAGCCGCGTCTTCTCCTGGAAGGGCTGCTCTCTAGAGCCGGGGCTGCAGGTTGGAGATTTTTTAACAAAGTGGAAACTGGCAGTTCGCTGTATTTGTGAGCCTGTGATTTCTGGGGAGGGAGCTACAGAGAGGTGTTAACTACTTACTCCTTATTCTCTAAGATTAGACAACGGGGCGAGGTTGTGAGATCAGGTAAAGGAGGGATGGGGGACACTGTGGTGTGGTCTTTTCCTTCTCGCTTTTTGAGCTTTGCCAATATCTGTCCTTGGCTGTGGGGAGGGCCGAGATCAGCAGCGGAAGTAAAGCGAGCTGTGGCGGCTGCGGAGCAGACTCACAGCTCCAGCCCCACTGCGGCAGCCGGACTACTTCGTGGTTGGAGCATATCTGGGGCTCTGACCCTCACGCCCGCAGTGGAAGCGCTGAAACCTAGGTTGGGGTTCACTAGCCACAGATTTGCTGTTCTAGTGCTTCTCTCCTCCTTCCCCTTCTCTTCTACATATGCATTTTTAACCTCAGTGCTTGTGCGGTGCCTTCGCCAGAGTTTGGAGTGTGACAACAAACGTTTCTGGACTCGAGCGTGCACGAGAGCGCTGAAGGGCTCTGGGATTTGCTCTCACAGTTCCAACAATGCAGAGAGAGAGCTTGGAGAGTCAGTGTGGGTTCTGTAGAACCACGGTTTGCCATGACACTCAGGAGAGATCTTTGGGAGGGTATTTTTAGAGCCAACTGTTTGCACTTTGTCAGTTCAGCGGCTGGTTGGGGTGTTTATGAAGAAGGGCAGTCGGCTGGGGGCACTGCTGGGGTGATGGCAATAGCGAGGTACGTGTGTTCTTGCTCGTGGGCATGTGTCTACCTGTTTGGTGCTTCTGCAGTCCAGTGGGCAAGAGCACGGCTGTGTTTGGGGCTGGGCTGTCCGATGCCCCGCATGGCTGCGTGGTCCTGTTGTTTTTCGATCGATAGCAGGGACCTGATCACCGAGGTTGGCAAGGGTTGGCCGGGAGCTGAGGATGCACTGTGGTTGTTTTCTCCTCCTCCTCCTCTTTCTCTTTACTCCTTCTCCTCGCCTCGCCTCCCTTTCCTCAGGTCACAGCGGAGTGAATCAGCTCGGTGGTGTCTTTGTCAACGGGCGGCCACTGCCGGACTCTACCCGGCAGAAGATCGTAGAGCTAGCTCACAGCGGGGCCCGGCCGTGCGACATTTCCCGAATTCTGCAGGTGATCCTCCCGGCGCCGCCCCACTCGCCGCCCCCGCGGCCCTCCACTTTCAACGCCCTCTCTTCATTTCTTACTGTAAACGCTGCTAATTATGGACCCCCCACCCTCACCCACCCACCCACCCTTCCCAGTCCCCACCCCCCTCCCCTGTCTTCCCGCTTTCCCCTCTCCTTCCACCATCCTTCCCCATCTCTTTCAACGTGGGTCAGTCACATAAGATAACTCATCTGCTTAAGAAAAAAAAAATGTGTGTGAATTGAAACAAAACCTTTCTCCTTTCATTTGGTAAAAACCTTAATTGTGGTAACAGTCTGTGAACTATCTATATAAGCTGAGTTTTACAAAACCAGCATAATTTTCCCTTCTCTCTCATTCCATGCTTAACTCAGATTTCAAGAGATTTGTTTGCATTCTTCATCTTCATGAAGACTATCTATTGATTTTAAAAAGGCAAATGCTATTTATCTCCCTCCCTAAGCCACAGTTACTCCATTGGGTAAATTTTTAAAGGAAATATAAGTTAAAATTCAGTTTATTGTCCCCTTTTGCTTATTAAAACATAACACCGCTTTATGCAAGATCAGCACAAAAAAAATTAATCTGACTTCGTTTTGATGCATCTTCAGCCAATGTTTAAAAAAACAATTTTTTTAAAAAAACTTTTAAATTAGTTTTTTTTTTAGTTCAAACTGTTTGAAAGTATCATCATATTTGTAGTTTTTAGGGCTACAAATGTAATTTTTAAAAAAGCTCTCTACAGTAAGTTCTCATACCATTGAAGGTATATTTTTGTGTTATAGACCCATGCAGATGCAAAAGTCCAAGTGCTGGACAATCAAAACGTAAGCTTGTCATTGTTTAATGCATACTTAAACAATTTTATTTTTGTCTTGAAATTATTAATAATGTGGTTTTCTGTCCACTTCCCCTATGCAGGTGTCCAACGGATGTGTGAGTAAAATTCTGGGCAGGTATTACGAGACTGGCTCCATCAGACCCAGGGCAATCGGTGGTAGTAAGCCAAGAGTAGCGACTCCAGAAGTTGTAAGCAAAATAGCCCAGTATAAGCGGGAGTGCCCGTCCATCTTTGCTTGGGAAATCCGAGACAGATTACTGTCCGAGGGGGTCTGTACCAACGATAACATACCAAGTGTAAGTTCACTGAGCACGCCCCCTCCCCAAGTTCCATGCTGTCCTCTGTACCATACTTTCTTCACTTCCTCCTACTCTCCCCGCTCCTGCTGTCTTTATGTCTTTATCTCCTCCCTGCTTTATGTGCGTCTCCTGTATCTGGGACTGTTGAGAGGAGCATTCTGACCTTTTTTTGACTTTCTGGAAAATGGGAGTCAAGTGGGGGGAATTGTTCACCTTATTTGCATGCTGCAAAGTAGAGGGCAGAGGCACTCAGGGAAAGGGACTTGAATCAAAAAGGAAAATGAAAACGAAAACCAGATTCTAACTTCTTCCAAATCCGCTTGCCTGAACCTTCCTTCAGGTGGCAAACATCCATTTCTGCTGTAATATAAAACAAGTAAAGTGAAAAAAAGCTCTAAACCAAGTCTAAATATTTTTTTTTGGCAATCTTTTAACAAAGCAAAGCAGCCATGTGAGTTAGGTCACCAGAGACACTGAGCAATGGTGAATGACCACCTTCCCTTCTCTAATTCAGACCTAACCCAGTTTTCATGCTCAAAGTGCTGGCTGTCATTCTGTCCATGATGTCCCTGTAAATCCACCCGCTGTCCCAGGATGGCTGGGAGTTTTTAAAGATATGTTAAGAGTTTTTTAAGGGGGTGGGAGGGCTAAGAAGGGGACTTAATACAGGGCGACTCTGTCTTCAGCAGACACTACCATTTGGTTTGATTTTGGTTTGATTTGCAGGTGTCATCAATAAACAGAGTTCTTCGCAACCTGGCTAGCGAAAAGCAACAGATGGGCGCAGACGGCATGTATGATAAACTAAGGATGTTGAACGGGCAGACCGGAAGCTGGGGCACCCGCCCGGGTTGGTATCCGGGGACTTCGGTGCCAGGGCAACCTACCCAAGGTAAAAACCCAAGTATCCATCATCTAAACTCTCTGTATATGTAGCCAAGTCTATTCTCCCCCAACTTTTCCCTCTCTCTGCCTCTGTACTTAGAGAATGTAGTAGTGGGACTCTTCAAAGGCTTGGGATATATTGGCTTGCACTGTATGTAGATGATGTTTGTTCAACTATTTGGTTGGCCTGGAAGTGTAAGGGTTGTATATAACAGGAGTGGTATGAATGTGGCTGATGTGTGTGTGTGCGTTATGCAGGAGTGTGTGTGTGTATAAGAGCTAGCTGCGTGGTACCCTATTCAAATTTGCCATTAAAATGCACGGAGAGCCCCCTTGCTGTAGAAGTGTGACAAGTTAACACATTGACAGACTGCGAGGTAAACACAATTGTATCATTTTGCTTTTTTGCCATAATTGACAAATTATGCTACTATGAGTAGGGTGCATATGAGAGAAGGTGAGCAGAGAGATGCAGCACCCAGTAGATGTTGGGACACTGGAAGTGGTGGTGTCCCAACTGAAACAACCCCCCACCATCTCCACTCTTACCCCCTCCCCCTGCTGGACCCCCAGTTCTCACTCTCTGTGGGTGGTGACTGCTTAGAAGGGTGGAGTGAGGATACTGTGAGCCGGCTTGTGGGGTGCTGGGGCGAGGAGGAGAGATGGGATCTGGACCATCCCAGCATCCATGAGAAGGGATGGAGGAAGAGGAGCAGGTAAGGGTGGGATGGGGCGTGTTGGCTCTGCCCTCCCCAGTACACGGAGGTAGCTTGGTCAAGAATAGGAAACAGTTTACTCCGAAGATTAATCGGTATTTGTTGTCCTTTTGACAAGGAGATAATATGCGGGATAATGGGATGTGGCATCTCACTCCCTGGAGCACGATGAAGCCTGGGGGCCTCGGGTGGGGGGTGGCAGTGCAGGGGACGCTGATGGGGCTGCCCGCGCGTCCTTGCGCTCTCGGACCCGCTCCCGTGCCCCGCGCCTCCACGGAGCCGGGCTAGAGAAGGGAAAATCGGTAACAGTATGCGAAATATCTGGTACAAAGGATGCTTCTGTCACTCGCAAGAATTTGTTATGGGAACAATCCTGTCGCTCTGTAATTGCTCATTAGAGAACGTTTTGTTTCTCATTAAGGCGACATGAATAAGCGTCTAGTTGAAGGAGACAGCTGTAGAAATGTTCCACAAGAGACCTCTGGACACGATTCGGCACCAATTGCCAATTAGACATGTCAGTTTTAAGAGCAGAAAACAATATAGGACGGACACTGGGAAGATAGGGAGCAAAGCGCTCGCCCCGGGTTTCCCAGCGTGGCTGCTCGTCGGCAGAGGCCTCCTGACCCGCTGGGCCTGGGCTCCCCTGGGCGACCCCGCCCGCCTGCTCAGCCGCCCCAAACCGAGGCCTCCGGGGGCACTTTGGGTGAGCCAGAGAAGGTGCTGCCTCCAACCGGGCCACAGGCCTAGGGCCACTCCAGCCTCTGATGAGGAAGAGCGAGTGATAGGCTGAGTGTAGACCATCACACCCTCACCTACCCTTTGAAACTATAGGATTCCACATACACATCCTGGACACACCCAAGTGACACTGCACTTCCCACTCCCCAGCGCCCGCTCGCCAGCCCCAGCAATCTGAGACCGGGCTGACTCCTCCCCCCGTGGAGTCTAGCTGACTGGGTCCGAGAAGCCTTGAGGAGGGCATGGGGCACAGTGGCTGGGTCTGGGAGGGCTAAACCCTAAGCCTCCACGTCCTGGCTCTCTTGGTGCGAGGGCTCACAGTAGTAGCTTGGGGTCTGGAGCATGGACAACCCCCTCCTGCTTCCCGGAGCCCGGACAGAAGCCGAGGACTGCAGCTTTGCCAGCCTCACCGCTTCTTCCAGAGGCTGTGCGGGATCCGGCAGCTTTTCGTCCCAGGAGCGTGAGGGCGGGAGAGCCTAACTGCAAGGACCTGCTCGTGATGGTTGGGGCAGGAGGTGGCGCTCATTCAGGGGCTTTGAACTTTTCGGCCTCACCAACTGCCAGTCTCCACTCCGCCCGCGAAAAACCCCACTTCGATGCCTCGTCGCGGAGCATGGACCGCCGCCCCCACTGCGTGGCGAGCATGTGCGGTGCGCGCCCAGCGTGGAAGCCTCGCGTGGGCGCCGCGGGGTGCTGGTGGCGAGCTTTGGCTGACAGGTCCCGGGAATCCTCAGACCTTTTGGCGCTAAGAAGGCCACCCCCCCCACCCCCCCTCCCTCTCTAGCTGCCTTTCCCAGACCGGGAAGCTGTTTTGGGGATTTTAAAGAGTCCATTACTCCAAAAGCATAAGGCGAGGTTAGGTCTCAGAGGGAGACAAATATGGTTTCCATCTGATCAATGCCACACCGCAGTGAATAAAATCGTGACGACGTGGGCTGACAACAAGAGACAACTCTATCCGGCCCCAATTCTCCAGCGATTTGGTGGTTTTAGGGATCACGGAGACACTTTTTCTTATCTCCTCCCCTCCTCCCCAACCCCCCATAATACCCAGGCCCTCTATAGGATTTAGTCAGTCTCTTTTTCAACAGATGCTACAATGTTTTGATCCGCGCTCCCGAGCTGAAAAGGTGCCGCAACCGGGTTGCTATCTTTTCTTGCTTGTTTTCCGCCTCACTGATTAAGACACTAAGAAACTAAGGAATGATTTTATTTCCCAGCGCCCACCCCACCCCGCCCC